AAAGTCTGTTATTTTAACTGTAAATGCGGAGCTGCTCCGAGGTGCTCCCAACAGCAGGTGATGGAAGTAATAAAAGTAATATTAAATAAGAAAAAGTAATGTTACTTTCACACTTTCTTTTACACACTTTCCTGGTTTCACAATCTTGATCCTCAGTGATAAAAATAGGTACTAATTTAAGATGCATTGAGTGACAAGCGATGCCCAGTCATTTATATATATATACTCGTCCAGTTACTTGTGTTATGTAATTGGCTATAGGATAATTTTATCCTTTTAAAGGCAACATCATTTTCACTGTATTAAAACAAAGTTTACTTGTGAATCCATCCAGATTTAAAAAAAGAAAAAATCCATCCTTTCCATAGTTTGCTTTTGTGCATTCTCTAATGTTGCATGCTTCTTAAACTCCTTACTGTAACAATGAAAGACATTCTTATAATAAACTGCAGTATGTGTGATGTGCGTTCAGCACCGTATACGTTAGTCATCTAAAGAAACAAGTCTCTAACCACTGTTTAAACATCAGCAAATGGCAAATTAGCTTTGACTGGCAAAAGTATTTTAAGAAGAATAATTGCATGTAAATATCACTTTTCATCCCAAATGATCCCAAAGTGCTTTACGTATGAGTTGATCCTTTCATCCACCATTGATGTGTAGCAACTTTGCAGAAATACACCAGTAGATCATGTAATGAAGTGTTTTCCCAGTTAAACTAAAGGGGAACATTAGATTCAGACCAGACTATGCAGGCGGAGTGGAATGAAATGTTGTTGGGGCACACCTACTCTTTCGAACAGCACTGTGATTCTTTAATAACCAAGAACTCAGGACCCCATTCCTCCTGCTGGTCCACCAACACCACTCACAAGAGCAGGTTGGTGTTCCTTGGAGGTCTCTGATCCAGGTACTGTTGCCGGGTAATGCTGCGGTTTTAGTGTACAATAAGAAAACATTCTGATCTAAAATGATTGTAAACTGTGCTTTAATGTGCTCAGTAATACCGAAGAACAGTCACAAGCTCCTAAAGAGGTGAACTATGCACTGCAATCCTCCCCTGTAATGTGCTCTTCTTTTCAAAACAGCACTTTGGGAATGACATAAGTTACTTGACTTTATTTTTTCACTCTCACACTCCTTTTCCCTTAAATTGCATAGTTTCTTAAATTACTAAGCTGGCCTAATAGGTACAACCTGTGCTGGCTCTAAGGGGGCTCGCTCTTTAGAGAGAATGTACATTTTCGTTTGCTATTTATGAGAGAGGGATAAAAGCTATCCATGATGCTCAGTAACATGCAATCCAGAACTCTTTCAGTCATAAATTGATCTGGCCTTAAACATCAGCTTCAGTGCCAACACTTCAAATGTGGTTTCTATTCATTCGGCATTGACATCACCATCTTTCCATTCTCCTTCTCTTTTCTCGGTCTCTTTTTCCATTTTTTTAAGAGAAACAAAATGACAGAGAAGGTGCCAGTAGCCATTCTAGAGTCAGTGTAGTATTTTAAATGCTCCACTACACCACCAGAAAACATCCTATACAGTGATTAGTCCCATTACATGTGCATGTTTTGTTCAAGTTTTCACTTTGCTGTTTTCTAAAAAAATGAATTTCAGTGTTTTCTTCAGAGATTAATAGTTAATGTTGCTCACAACAGAGTTTCAAAATGCAGCAATTGACCGTATCATTTCTTGGTGCTTGTTTGTGCTTGTAGCTTTCTAAACCAGTCTTCTAGGTAAAGAGTGGGAAACAGATATGAAATTTCTATGTTTCTCATACTTACAGTAGGTTAAATGGGAATGGCAAGCTAGTGTTGTTGGCATGCTGAATAAGGAAACGTTGATTTTTTTCATTCATCGGGTTATGACTGTGGGCTCTGGACCAGTGGGTTGTGTGATGAAATCCTGTGGAAGTAAGTTTTAAACAGAATAAGAAGCACGCCTTTACACAAAGGGGTGTGGTAGTCTGGAACAGCTACCCAGCCATGTTGTTGAAGCTTTCTGGCTGCCTAGAAGTGGGTGGGTGGGATCCTTGGATTGACTGTCTACTAACAACCACATAAGCCTCCTTTCATTTACAAAGAATTGAAACCATTTTTTTAAGTTATGTGACATAGGTATATACTGTACATAGTAGCATACTAGTGTTGTGCAAGTACTCTAGTATTCCATTGTGTAGATTTTATTTGATTTGAATGTTAACATAATAGATTCTGTGCCTTATTATTTCTTATGATTCTTATTCATATATTATTGTTTTGTTTGTGATTTGTTTGTAAGCGTCCATCAAAGAAAATCATTCTGAGAGTTGGCAGTGTGTCCATTTTCCAGTGGTGTCGTATAATTCTCTTGGCTATCATGATACTAAGTACTATCCTTTTTTGATATGTTTGTGGTATAGGATGAAGTTCTCTGTCATCAATTAATATACATAGGCTTGGTGAGCCTTTAATGTTGAAACCAGTTATATTTTCCAAATGCCTTTTCATCCAAAAAAGCTTTTATATCTAACATTCTTAGAGCATATGTATATGTTTCTATATTACCATTTCATCTACAGAAGAGACCTAATTCCTGCAATTCTACTGTCATAACCCTTGAAGGTATTCATTACAAGTGGGAAAGAATACTGTGTTGAATTCAGCTAAGCTTTGACAGGTGGTCACACTTTTTAGATCATGTGATTCTTTGACTCTTGTATATGATTCAGTAGTTTGAATGTATTTGGCAATTTTGGTGAGAGTCCGGTCAAACAGCTGCAGAACTGTAGATGTTGCAAGAGCTAATGTAAATCAGAAAGCACAGAAATTTATGGTACTCCTTTCCTTACTGAAAGACTTCCCGTGATACTTACGTTGCTTGTTTTTATAAAAGGGGTTTTCTCTATAATATGACATCTAGGTGGATAAACCATTGATATTTATGATATTGTTTTTTCTTTTTGTAAACCACTTGGGAATATTTTTATACAGGGCTGTTTTTCTGTTTTTGTTCCTACTATAATTGTGTGGTGGCCAGGACCTCACTTAAAGTGCTCTAGTGGTGCGTAGCTGTGTGAGTGTGAAAGGTAGAAGGCTCTCAGACAGTACTATATCTTAATCTTTGTTATCTCTGTAAAAACACATTGACATGTTTGAAGATTAGGAGGATTGATCCCACCCCCCACACTCCTCCATTTCTTAGAGCCTGAAGTTTCATAACGAGCAATTTAGGTTTCCTCCCCTCCCAAACAGATTTAGAAAGTGTTATATTTAATTGTTGAAATAATGATCTGGGCCCTTGAGAGGCATCATATTAAGAAGATAAATTGTGGTGCTGAAACCATCTTCCACACAGAGTCTGCCCTGCGGTCCCAGTGTAAGGCCACTCCACCTATCCAGAGTGTCCTAAAATTGGCTTTGTTATTCTCATGTGCTTGTCTTTCACCTCATCGTCTAATCACAGGCACAAATGAATTTAAGTTATTTTAAGCCTTTTGGCAGCCATTGAAATACACATGTTGAGGGCAGCTATGAATCAAGAACAATTTAATGTTTTTTGACCTTGGTATGAATCAATGAATCACTAATATGGAAAAAAAATAGAGTTGTGTATAAAAGGCATTCACACAATTCAGTTAAATTAACAGGTTTATGGAGCATGTGGTAGGAACATATTCTGCACTTTGAAGGACCATGAGAAAAAGGGTCAGTTTTCCTTCTGTTTTTTGGAGGGGAACAGGACCTCATATTAAAGTGGCAGAGCAATTGTAATTATCTGTGCACAACTAAGCAATAATCTAAACGTTATCAATGACAGCTTAGTCCAGTTGATAATTTCCTACACTTCTAATCAAAGTCACATGTCTGTTGTCCAGATAGTGTAGACAGACCCTAAATAAATCTGATGTGCTTATGCTGGTGGAATTTCAATTGAAAACATGACCATGAGACAAATTCTTAGATCTAAGGGGTTGACAGCAAATATGAGATGTGAATTAAATGTTAATGACTAAATCATACACAAAATCAGTTTTCCCAGTAATATTTACAGTTTTGATTTCAATTTAAGGATCATTGTTTCATGAATGATTATGTAGTTATTCATTATTTACTTAAATAATGAAGAGTATGTTAAATTACTGTTGTTAGATTCTAAGTACACAACGTATCTAATGTTTTCCTTATTATTAAGGTGTGTGTAAGAGGGGGAAGTTGATGTTAAATGGGCAAAATGTTTGTAAATAAAAAATGAAAGAGAAGGGATCCTTTGGGAGGCTGGCATCGCTGTGCAGAAATCACAGCATCACAAGAAACGTTTTCCTTCAGTTCTCATCTTTACCTGTGTCAGCTCCCGCACCAATTTCTTGTGTTTATAAACGTTTGATTATGTTATAGAATATCTGTGGATTTCTTCCATGGATATAGAAACGTGCTGACACGTTGCTTTATAGCTGTTGATTGAACACTGAGCTAACACTTGAAAACGTAACTGTAAGATAAAGATCTAATCATGATTTGTTTAATGTTCTGGGGATGGCTCAGTACATTGCAGTTAAATTGCATTGATGATAATAATACAACAGTATCACAGTAGAAAAAATATGTATGACAAAATATTAAGATAAGATTCTGAGACATGTCACATCATAAAAAAGGCTAATTATTGCTGGGGAACTTCATTTTTAATACACAGTTTTAGGAATCCTTCAGTTGAATCAGTTTTCATTTTTAATGTGTAACAGGCTGTGCATAAGGAATAACGTTTTAAAGAGAACACCTTAGTTTTATTGTAAATTTACAACCCCTTCTAAGGATCATTGCATTTTGCAAAGCAATATCAGCTTTCATATGTCAACTCTTTTTGTCGATTATCAATAAAAAATGTTTTAAAAAAACATTAGGACTTGTGTTGACTCAATAAAATGCCCTGGGACGTTTTGATTTACACCTTGTTCTGCAATGCAAATTTCCGGATAGGATTTTTTAAATGATTTTTAAAAAATATATTTTTGCTAGATTTCTTCCAGAGCACAAACTAAATTTCTACAAGAGGAGGCTGGACTTTGAAGAAAGAAGATATCCAGGCCTCTCAGGAAGCTTCTCAGGCTCCAAACATTGCACTGGAACAGAGCTGCCAACAGATAACAGCACTTCTGATCTGACTCCAGAGCCCCGTGAAAAGGTTTGCACCACAGAACAAGAAGCCCTTAACCCACCTGAGCCTCCACTGGAGACGGGCAGAGCTGATGAAGCAGCGATCCCTCATCATGCAGATGACAAGCAGCAGCCCAGCCTGGAGCCTGGTGGCACAGGAGTGCCAGAGCAGAGATGCGTTGGACCTGCTACTCAACAAAGACCTCTCCACATCGTGTGGCCTCACAGGTGGTAGGTGTTGGGTCTTATATTAAATTAAACATGATCATAATAAATTAAAAATGGGAAACACACAGAAGCGTTTTGTGCACTAATAGAATTTATCAAATGTGAAAACAACATGATAGAGCTTCTTTTATTGTGTCTAAATACTTTGCCAGCCTTCTCTCCTGTGAACATTTAACATAAACACAGAAACTCATGGGAACCATATACAGGATAATGAAATTATCTCTGTACAAACAAATAGGGTCGAACTTTCAAGGAGAAGCACATTAGAAACATGCTACCACTTGCGTAGCAGGTCTGTTTTTTATAGCTAAAGAATATCAAGGACTCAAATGTAAAAATGTAATGAGAAGCTACTCATTCACTGCTGTCACATCTTGAATTCAGCATACACAAGACTCTATAGTATGATGCACTTACTGATAATAAAAGAATGCAGTTCGAAGTTCACCTTCTACTGAACAAATTGGGAATATCCATGTGGATACTGATTCATCCCCTCTTCATTAATTTTGATAGATCTGAGATTTCCTTGGACAGACAGACATGCACACACATTCACACCAATGCCAGTTTTGCCAGCAGCCCGTTAACCTACCAGTATGCCTTCTTACTGTGGGAGGAAACCAGAGAACCTGGAGGAAACCTACATGAACACAGGGAGGACATACTACCTCCACGAAGACAGCACATCGGGTCCAGAGCTGAACCCAGAGCCCGACGGTGCCACCTCGGTGCCAGTGTGCCCACCCATTTCAGCAATGAGACTTAGAATTGTTTGCTGATGAGGATGAGGATTATTTTTTATTTAAAACAGTAACGTATTTAGTATTTGTAATAATGCACTTCTTATTGTCATAAGGGCTAAATTACATTAAAAAGACCATCAGTGAAAAAATGGGAAATAACAATACATCCCCTGAGCAAGCACTCCTAGGTGGTTCCTTAACTGCCTTAATGTTATCAGCTGGATTCACAGCAATTAGTTTTACCTGTTTGCCTTATTTAATCATCCCCAACAGTGCATTTCTTCTTATTACCTGTACTACTGTGACTGAACAGTTTGTAATTACTGACCGTGAATAGATGGTAATTAGTTGCATTTACGAAATGAAGAGGGAGAAAAAAGATCAGCAGACGTTGCAGGGGCCTGAGGCTGTTTGTGTTCTGTCTAAAAGTATAAATTCCTGATCTGGCAGAGCTGAAAGCCATTTCTGGCACCTGTATCAGCCAACATGATCACTCCCTCTTATGCCAGAACTGTTGACAGAAAATGTGCTTTGTCAGCTGAAGTCGCATTTTTCTATTATTTAATTCTGTTCCTTTTGAATCAGAACAGAAGTGAAAAAGAAGCATTTGCTCACAGCGCCGTACTGCTCACATCTTCCAGCCACCTTTTCAAGCTCTCTCTTTCTTTCCTGTTGTGGCTCTTTCTCTACCTACCCTGATATCAGTGACAAAAGCCCGATCTTGTCATCTTTTCAGAACTGGGAAAAAATCATGGCAGCAGGATTATGGCTGCTAACATGTTCATGTAAACTTTGGTTTTATGCTGAGGTAAATTAGGATTTAAAGAGGTACTACTGACACATAATCTCCTAGTACCAGAACACAAGCATTTTCATCCGTTTTTTTCCCTCTTTATGATTATTCCTTGCAGTTAGTTAATCTGCATGTGGCCTGATTAGAGCGCGCTTCATCCCCAGATTATGGCCTTGTTTATTGCAGGGGAAGCTGGGAGGATCCGTAGGTCAGTGTTTTTTTCCAGAGGGCAGCCGTTCACAGGTGAAGAAATAAGTATGCTACACCGACAGGGGCAAATCGCCTTTGCAAGAGGATTTGACTTCCAGCACATTAAAACTCCAGAAGCTCTTGTGGCTGATCGGGAGCAGCTGCTACCTAAAGGGATTTTCATCTTTGACTCGAAATGTCTGAACAAAACAAAACAAAAAGAAAATTAAGTAACTGGCAGTGAAAGAAATTTGCCGTTGGAATGTCGGCTTTTTCCTCCACATTTCCCATAAGGCATGTGCCTCTATGTAATTTATCACATGTCCTTGCTACTAACCACTATTTTCTGCCCATGAAATATGAAACTGAATGAAGGTGCGGTTTATGAGGCATACTGAACATGTTATATTTTTGGCATGCACATTTTAGACACTGAATTTTTGTTATTTATTTGTTGAAGAATTTATTTATTTAATGGATATGCTAAACTAAAATACTTTCAACTTGCTCTGCAATGACTTCATTTTTCAAGATGGTCTGGAGTTAAAAAAAATAATGTTGCGGTGTGCTGTATTTTATTTGACTTATCCCCAAAAAAGAAACGTAAATTACAAAAAACATCTCATGAAAAGTAAACAAGGTCATCTCAATTTTTCTTATTTAACTAGATCACAGGTGCAGCTCAGTTGATTGCTTTCTGTCTGTTTAGAGCCCGGCTTTTGGAAAGAGTAATTGATTTAATTTAATATTATGTTGCTCTTCATTCTTCAAGTAGACGTGGTCGTCGGGGGAAGTGCTGAGATACAGGAGACTGCCCACAGCTAATATGCAGAAAAGTCATGGTCTCCTGAAGGGGACAGCAGACTTTAGGGAGAAAAGGTGCGTGAATAGAAGTGCAACTGACTGTAAATGTATTGGAGGCTAGGTCAGAGTGTCAGGAGGCATGTCGACCTGGATTTTTCTGAGCCCAGCAGCCCTGTCATTTTTGTACATTAGCAAGAACCAGAACAGTAAACAAGAAAAACACCCCAAGCTTCCAATCCTAAGGTGGTGGTGGGGGGGGTGAAATTGAATTGCGTTTTGCTCAGTGGGAGATGACAAATGCCATATGTCTTTCACACACTGGTCACAAACTCCAGACTGGATGGGAGAGGTTGGCCACCATCTTTTTGTACTTTAATGGTTCTGGTATCAGTTATTTAGGGAGATGCTATGGTGCTGTTTTGATCATGTTCTTAGTGTGGTATGTCTCCTTAACCTGTCTTTGTGTGTACCTTATCACAATTTGTCATTGTAGTTTAACTGACCTGTAGTCAACATCTTTTATTTGTCTGGCTCCTTGTGTTGATCATTTTGACACATTGTTATCCGACTGGCCTGGCTTTGATTGAGTAATTGGCCTTGAACGTAGAATGTGAAAAATTTGGGCCTATGTACTCATTATTAAAAATACCCAAGCAGACACAGTATGTAATGTTTAGGAAAAGGATTTTTACAAATCCACGTAAATAATTTACAAATATTGCTCTTTTCTGTCTTCTGAAAAGTGAAATGTAAGGTGTAGTGCACATGCTGTTCCAAATTCGCAATTGGGTGCCTCACTTTCAATGTCATTCCTCCAGTATCAAATATATACTGAAGACATTCAATAAGTGTATGTAAGTGTCTGCACATGTGTGTGTGTGTGAAAGAATGAGAATATGTGTATCTGTTTTGGTATGAAGTGTCTACTAAAATCTACGCACAATACACAGAGTTGTATTAATAGTTTTCTCTGTAGGACCAACATCTTCATAACCTTTTATGTAAAATGACAAAGGCTGTCACATTTTCTGTCAAATTAATGATGCGTTGATCTCACAGGCATCCTGTTTTTCCTTCCTCAGTTTTCTGCAATAGTGGTTTCATTAAATAGCAGTAAAGCGACTCATCTCAAATAAAATCAAAGACTTAATAATGCCCATGAGGTTATTTTAACGTTAAGAAGATGTTTCTAAAATGCTGCTATTCCATGGTGATATTTTATCATCCCCAAAATTTTTTAAGTGTTTATCAATGAGATCAGTTGAAAGGTTACTCTTATAAAACTGTTTGTTTTCGTCATATGGAAAGAAAATGGAAAATATAACGTATTAAATTATAAGCAAACACCAAAAAAGTTAAAACAGAAATATTAGGCAATTTCAGTAATATAGTAAAATTTTTCCTACTAGATTCTGGACTTGTGTTGCAGATGGTAAAATATTTCACAGTGAAGTTGTAAATGCATATTCCATTTTAAAGGGTGATTACTTGAAATTGTATATGAAATACAATTTATTTTTCATGCCATTACTGTAGGGTCGGGGGGAAAAACAAGCTCAAGCAAGAGTAAAATGAAAGGCAGTCGTTAATCCTTGCTGAGGAAGACAGAAGGACTTTGCAGAACCAAAGGTTGTCAAGCTAGCATAAGGGGCTAATTTTGAAAATCTAGCATGCAGTCAATTTTAGGGATGCCTTGGGGTATAAGGTAGAAGCTGACATGAGAACTAATTTTGTCTGTGTTATTTACCACTATGCATCATCTATGGGCCTTCAGCTGACATAAGGACAGTTGGATTAAAAAATATAAGAATATTGCCACATGCTTAGAATTTATGATGACATCTAGTATTTGTTCAGTGTGTAAGCAGCAACACTCTGGAAAAATGAGTGGGGAGAGTATGAAGTGAAAGCCAAACCTTGTAAATATATCTTTTTAATAACAGTCGGCAAGGTTAATGCAGTTTACCTTGGAGAGTTTACAGTGAAAACAAGCAGGGTTTGCAGGGAAAATGAGAGAAAACAGTCAGCCAGGATGTTTGTTTGCTGTTACCTATATGAGCCGTGCAGGATCTCTGGCCCGCGTCTGATAGCTATTTGTTGTACAGAGAGCGGTGGCATGAAAAAAGGAGAAAAAAAAATCAAACTCTTAATACTATTGTGTGCCTATAACCATCTGTCACTGCTAGCCTGGAGATGAGAGGAAGATTACGAGGAATAAACACTGAGCTGCAGAGCAATGGTAAAGCCTTCGGGCAAAAAAAAAAAGAAAAGGAAAAAAAACTCATGTGGGGACATCAAAGACATTCTAATTCTGAGGCAGTCAAGGATTACAGTTTGTAACCTGTGCTGACAACAAATAAATGACTGGCAATATTGCAGAAGAGCTGCAAGGGTCTTTCATGGAGTATAGATGATGGTGGTGATGATGATGATGATGATGATGTCCTGGAATAGACTACTGCTATAAT